ATGATCGTTCATATATCAAGATAGTTCATTTGAAGGAAATTACTACAATTAATTTCATGGTTTCTTTGAATGATCCTTTAGATGAAGATTCTTTTAGTGTTACAAAATTTATTCCTTCATATTTCAAAATATGGATCAACTCCTTGAGTTTATTGATGATCTCATTCTTTCTAGATTCTTCCTGAAACTCAATAAAGGCTCTACTATCTTTCAATTCCAACTTTTAACTCTTAGATAGTTATTTAATACAAAACCTCTAATATACCCTCCAAGGGTTCCAATGATTAAGTATCATCTAAGAGAATGAGTCTCATGTTCATTTGGCATTTTAACCTTTTGGATTCATGTTTCATTTTATTTTGATTGATACTTTGAGAAACCTCATGAATCATCTCAAGAGTGTCTCGCACTTCCTTAGAGGAACCGTAAGTAAAGACATAATAAAATTCTTTGGAACTTAAAGCATTGATCAAAAGATTTTTGAATTAAAAAAAAAGTTGAACTGTTATATTATCTTCTTCGATCCAACGAAAATGAGTTTTATTAACTACCTTATCATTAAAGGAGAAGGTAGGAATAAGCTGACCATTGATTAAAATCTCCCACATTTCAAAATTAATTTCTTTTATAAAACTTTTAAATGTATCTTTCTATAATTCAAACCTAACACCATCAAACAGTGGAGGTGTATATATGAAAAGACTTTTGTAAAAGTAGAAGTGTTTGTAGTCATCTTCTTCCTCGCGAGATGATTATTCTTTAGATAGGAGTTAGACTCTGATGACACATACTAGACAAGTGATTCTAAATACAAGAGGGGATTGAGTTGCGTGGGTTTGAAAAATTATTTTTAAATAAAAATCTTTGATAAAATCATATTAAAAATGAGTTTGTAAAACAAACAAAGAAAAATCAACTGGATAAAAAAAAATTAGACAGAAAGAAGTATAGCGTAAAGAAAATCTGCATGATAAAGAAAATCAGAAAGAAGTAAATAATTTAAATGTAAAGAGATAAATGAAGATAAATATACAATAGAGATTTATAGAGGTTTGACATAAGTATTTCGCCTACTCATCTCCCCAATAATTTCTTCTTGAGAGTTTTGACTATGATGTGAGCTTTTGATAGGTTTTTCCAACAAAACTCCTTACAAAAGAACTAAAGTTTTCAAATGGCTTTCCTTCCAGTCAAACATAACATCTTTAACTATGGATACCTTCTAAACAAGATAGTTTACCACTAGGATAATATCGAACCAAATGAGAGCTTATAACATCAGACTAAGCTCACAGAACAAATGAGAGTTTTAAATATGGAGATTTCCCAACTAAACATAAGTTATAATGGGTTCACCTCTACAACCAAACAAGAATGTTTTAATTGGTTTAACTCGCAACAAAAACAAATTTATCCCAATAAAATATTTTAATAATGCCCTTACACTAGACCTAAGCACCTCGCAGATAAAACAAATCACTTTCAAAAACAGTAGCGCAAAGTGAGCAAAATAAAAGAAAGGGGGTGATAGAAAGCTATTAGAATACTTTTTTTTTGTGTAAAATGAAATTAAGGAAAGCTCTTTATTTATAGTACAACATGTGGCTCAAAAATAAAATGAAACGAAAACAATATTATACAAATTTTAATTGAGTTGATTCATGTTCTACTCTGCATTTGGAGATATTAGTGTATATGTCAAAGACAAAGACAATGGTGTGTTTCTTTCTTGAGAAGCACCAAAAATAAATCAAGGGTGTTATGGTAGGTTAATTTCGAGTGTATTATTGAAAAAAGTAGTGGAGGATTTGAATGTAGACATTAAGGATAAATAGCCTTTGCACAATGGCGGTGGATTGTAAATTAGTCACATTATTGAAAAAATAAAGAAGGTTATAGGAGAAACTTTCAACAAAGGAGGACAATATCATCAAAAGTAAAAAAGGATAAAAATTTATTCACCGGATTTATCCTAAATATTTAGGATAAAACAAGGGAGGTCAATAAAACTTTAGGTAAAATTTCAACTATTTAGGATAATGTTCAATGGGAGTTAGGAAAATATGACAACTTTAGTTTTTGAAATGATGATTACATTAATGAACCTCTGGTGCATTTTCATGAAATATTCTCTAAACAAACATTCGCATTTAAAGGTTAAAGTTACAAATTTTATTCTTAACATTAAATGAAAAATTCCTATGTTTTTGACTATGTTTTTCTATGACCCACTAATTCCTGGAAAAAAAAAATATAGCGGTGGCAAAACGGGTCTGACTCGTTGAACATGTATGTTTTGCCTGCACTTTTGTGTGGGAAGGACCAAGAGTTTAGGCTGCACCTTCTAATGTGGCAGTCCGAATTTGCTACATTTTTTTTTGCGATATTCACGGACACAAACATTAACACAATTTTTGCATTTTTAGATTTAAAAAGTACAATGTCCGCGGTTCCGCCTCACTCCGCCTTCACTTTTAGTGATGGACGGACGCGTCAAGGTTTTAGGCCCCCGCCTTTAACTATGCTCGCCCCGTCTCATTTTGGGTGAATATGTGGTTTGAAGGTCTCTTGGATACATGAACATTTAATTCATTGACACTTCCGACACTTTGCTTGTTGAACTCCCCAACAAGTAGTATCAGAATTGTGGTTAGGTTTGGTGGAAAAGCAAAATTGGATTCTAGTATGGATCAAAGTTAATGATATTGATGACACACACTAAATATAATTGTCATATTATTCATTGGTGCAGTTTATGTAAATTTCGCGTGGAACTAGTAAACATCTCAATAATAACTTTCATTTCACAACTAAGTAGTTTTGGGGTTGGGTATCCTATATTATTAAAATCCAATTTGATATTATCTATTAGAGTTTGACCTAACTCATCTTTATAAAATTGGCTTGTAAGGTGAGAGGTGTCACTCCATATAAACTCTTTCAATGCTCTATCTCTATCTAATACGGAATTTGAGATTTTTCAAATACACCCTCTCACGCCCATCAATCTTTTGGACTAGGTGCATGCATTTAAACGATGGACAACCCATGGAGCGATCGATAGACTCTGGTATCATATTAGAGTTTGACTTAATTCATTCTTACAAAACTGACTTGTAAAATAAGAGATGTCACTCTATATAAACTTTTTCAACGCTCTATCTCTATCCGATCTAAATTTTGAAAATTTTCCAATATTATCTATATAACTAATAGTATTCGTCATATTTGTTATAAGACTTGGAATGCAAAAATGCTATTCTTGATGCTATCATTAATATTGTTACATCTTCCATTAATGAGTTTAAGATCCTATAAGATTCTTTTGTGAATAAGCACCCTCCTAAGGCTCTATTATAAAAGAAGTTATTTGACAACCTCCTAAAGATTCTTCTTCGATAAAATACAATACATATGACTACACCAATGGTTGTTTTGCACTAATCTTAGAAACACAACTTCTCATAATAGTAGCTATTAAGATAACTTATGGTAAAAAGTTGATAGTATTATTTAAAGATTGAAATTGATTCTCAAAAGCAATACATAGACTCATACTATGGTTCAATTCCAACCAAATCCTTGATGGAATACAGCTTTAAAATTAATGGATTATATTAAGTAATAATATACAAGACCCTACAAATTGATTGAATTAGTGCTTAGTAATGTCATGACAAGCACTAAACTGTTGTATGTGGTGTGTGATGGTCCCTTTTGATTAACTTTATGATTGCATTTCTTTTTTATGGATAATCTAATAAATTATTAAGTGTCTTGAAAATACACGTATTCAATATTCTATTAATGTGACTTTGATAGAAACTCACATCTTAATCTAAAATTAAAAAATACTGCTTAGTAGTTTTCTGTCATGTTTGTATTACTATCTTTGTTGAAACATCAAGGCATGGGACCAAATATTTAGTCCTTAGATTCTTTGATTCCTCTAACCTTGCATGAAACAAAAGGAACCTGCCAATTACACCACAAACAAACACATCTTCTTGTACAAGAAAAAGCTAAATTCTGTGTTACAAATTCAAAGATAAGTGATTACATTTTCACATTGGTCAAGAAATAGGTGAAGAATATGGGTCGGTTTCAAAAAACAAATTATTTACCTTTATTATTAAGCCATTTCATTGGTATTTTTTATATTAGTTTAATTTTATTTATTTATCATTTAATTCGATCCTAAAAATATTTGTCTAAGATGATTCGATTTATTAATCAAACATTACGTACTGTTCTATTATTTTAAGTTCGGTTTGATTCGACTTGATCTTATTTATAACACAAACATTTGTTATTATAAATATTTATGAATCAATTATTTCAATAATAATAAAGTAAATTAAGTTTTTTTGTGTGAATACTACAAGTAATTCTTATTTTGTGTAAATTGAAATGAAAAAACTTAAATATCATTTCTTAGACGTGATTTTTACTACTTTTTAATGAAAATATGATTTAAATATCGTTTAAAGTGTGAAAATAGAAAAAGAAAAACACACCTGTGAAATTATGAGTTTTCTCCATTGAAAAATTTATTATAGTAAATTAAAAATAATTAATAAATAATATTTTTTTATAAATTTTTAAAGATAATTTTACAAAAAAATTATTAAATAATTTTATTTATTTATTTAATCAATATTATACATCAAGAAAGTGGACCCACCTAATTCATCATGGAATCAACCATAGATAGAGTAAAAGTGGGAAAACAAGAAAATAAAAACAAAGTTCACACTTTCCTTCTTTTTCTCTCCTTCCAAGGCTCAAAATTGAGCTGTATATTACTTTCTATCTTATTCTTTCATCATAGATTCTCTTCACCCCATTTAAGTCAAAGAAAAAAGTGTAAAAATAATTTTTATTTTTATTTTCAAAAAAGAAAAAAAAGTACACATGAAATGCCTTATAACATATATATTCCCCCAACATAACCCCACTAATGTTTCCATATATTGTTGCAAATCTAAAAGAATCAAAAGATGAAGAATCATCAAAGTATGCATTTTGTTCTATCAACTGATGCAAAACCAAGACTCAAATGGAGTCATGAACTTCACCAAAGATTCATTGATGCAATTAATCAACTTGGGGGTGCAGAAAGTAAGTATAAAACAAACTCATTATTTAAATTATTTTATAGTAATATTTTTGATATTATTGTTAAGTTTTGAATTATTATTCATATGACAGAAGCAACACCAAAGAGTATTATGAGAGTGATGCAAATTCCAGGACTTACTTTGTACCATCTCAAGAGTCATTTACAGGCAATTATTTAACTTTTTTATAGAAAAATTAATTATTCTTGTTTATTGAAAATATGATATTAGAAATTGTGATTTTTCAATTTTCATGTGTTTTTTTTTCTTGTTATAGAAATATAGACTTGGGAAAAGCCAACATCATCTAGAAACATGTTCTGACAACATACAAGGTGACTTGTTGGAAAATAGTTTTGTTGTACAAGTATCTTTGTTGTCCCGGTGCTTTTCAATCTCGATTTATAATCTCGAAATAACGACCGGAATCGTTTAATATTGATTTTGATTTTTGTGTAAATGTGATTTCTCATTGATGCTTCTTGTGGTGCAGATTATGAAGAAATTAAGAGGAGTGATGAAAATTGTGGCAGGGAAATTAGTTTTGTGGACCAGAATAAAATCAATGAGTAATCATTAGAAATTTATTATCAAACATTTGATTATTTTCTCTTTTAGAGATTTTATTTTGAAATTCTGTTTTTTTTTTCAGAAACATTGAGATAGCTCAGGCTCTAGAAATGCAAATGGAAGTAGAGAGAAAACTTTATGAACAAATTGAGGTAACATTTATGTAATCGTGATTAAAAATTGCTTCAGACATGTTTAGATTGACAGTGATTTGAAATATGTGATTTTGTCAGATTACTGTCAATCTAGACATATAACGTGGACGTGTTAGTTGATTTGATTGGTGGTTTGTTTAGGTGCAAAATCGTTTGCAACTTCGAATCGAAGCTCAAGGAAGGTATTTACAATCGGTACTCAAGAAGGCTCAAGAAACACTTTCCGGATTCAATTCTTCTTCAATTGGTATAAAATTCACAAAAGATGAACTCTCTCAATTGGTTGCAATGATAAACAATACTTGTCCAAGTTCTTCAATTTCAGAACTAACAGAGTCAAGAGGATTAAGTTTAGAATGTGGTGAGAGGAAACGGAAAAATGGAACTATGTGTTCATTAGAAAGTTCATTAACATCTTCTGAAAGCTCGGAGAGAAGAGAAGAGAAAAACTTAGAAAATTTTGATACTAATTCACTTGAATTGCCAATAAGAAAGGAGCATTCAAATGTAACATCGTGTCCGTGTCTGATGTCTGTGATCAAGTCTGATGGGAACAAGCTGAAGAAAGCTGATACTAATTCACTTGAATTGCCAATAAGAAAGGAGCATTCAAATGTAACATCGTGTCCGTGTCTGATGTCTGTGATCGAGTCTGATGGGAACAAGCTGAAGAAAGCAAAGTTGTCTGAAATGTTAGATTTGAATGGCCAATTTCAGAATGAGATGGACTCAAGTCAGTCAACAGATTCAAAAACATTATTATTAGATTTAAATTGCAGTTTAAGCTCTTGTGAACCATGAAAATGGTTTTTAATTTTTAGTTTATTTAATTACATGAAACTATGTTATTCAGCACAATATCATTAATCGTTATTAGAAAAGATATGTGTCTATATATTATGTATATTTTATTATAATGGAAAGAAAGAATTGAATCTATAACATGGTCATTAAAAATGGGTTTATTATCATGGTTTATATATTATTTCAATAATATAATTATAATATTTTGTAGTTTTAGTATGTTAAATTCAAACACTGCTGTTGTTAGCTGTTAATGTTATGATTTAGTGATTTGACAGTAAAAATACTTTATTAAAAAACAATCAGATTTCAATATATTTTTTTATGTTCATGTGTGTTTATTTGAGAAAATGGCAACAACAAAAAAAAACATTCTCTAATATAATATAATAATATAAGGTTCAATAAAATTATGTCAAAGATTAAAAGCAACAGATTTTAAATTTGAATGACTCAATCCAAACATGAATAATTTATAAAAATTAAAATTAAAATATTACTATAATTATATGTCATATTATTATTATTATTATTATTATTATTATTATTATTATTATTATTATTATTATTATTATTATTATTATATGGTGTGGCATAACTATTCTCTTAGCTCACACAAGAAAGATGATAAGAGATTTCTTTCGATTTAATCAAAAGTCTTGAATTTAAATTTAACTTTAGTATGTATCGGTGTTAAATTTTCTTGAATTTAAAATTTGATTTCTTAAAAAGAAAACTATTCTCTTACCTTGATTAGATTTTTATAGGAGTGACAAACGAATATGTGTGCTCCGTTTAGATCTATTATATAATTACTTACAAAAAAAAATAGAGTGAACGTAATTAAAAATGCATACCTAAAATCTTAACTTGTTCCGCACAAAAGTGTGAGCACAATATCTTGTAGGCTAAAAATATATAGAATTATGTTAATGCTTATGCGTGCAAAAATTCGTAAAGATAAGATAGAATAGAACCGACACATTAGAAAGTGAAAATTTAAATTTGTAACAAATTGTCTAACGGTTCAGCCCGTTTTATCAACCTTACTTTCTTATCTTATGTCATGTCATCTTGATGAAATTGGGCCATAAAGTAACAAAGTTGAATAATTTAGTAAGCGTTAACCACTACTTTAATTACATATCATTCTTAAATCTTAAGGCACTACCAAAATTTGAGTTTATTTTTAGGCAACCAATATTTGAGTTGGTAGCATCTAACAATTAGCATGATTTCACTTGAACCCCTTTTTACTTCAATGTAACTACAAAATCGATATATAAGATAAATAATAGAACTATATATATAACTTTTTAGTGACTATAAGTCTATAACTAATTAATAGGGGTCTTGAAGTTTTCTTATAGACAAGAATATGTTGTTAATAATTCAATAAAATTCAGTTCAATCATGTAAATATATGTTTGAATCTAGGTTGTACTTTTTAGTATAGAGTTGACTTTAGCTAGAGACATGTTGGAGAATACTCCAAATTACTCGTTTGGTTTCTTCCTTTTGTCTTGTTCATTCATTGTCAAGAAAGCCCCAAATACACATATGGTCGTGTTGTGAGGCACATGACACACCTCTTTCACTCTCACTTTTTGAAAGTTTTGACAAATTTAAATTTAAGTTTTCGAAAATAACAAAACTTTTTAAAACGAAAAATAATTTTTCAGAAAATTGACCCATTTAAATTATTAGAATATAAACGTTTTCCGGCATTATGACATTAAAACTATAGTAATAGACACCTTCTTTTTTTTTTGAAAACTAAATAAGATTTGTGCTCCTTCTAATATTTTTATTAAATAGATAAAAAAAGTTAACTTAACAATTTTTATTAATTGGTTAATTATTTTATTTAATTTGCAAGAGACTTTAACCTCCCTCAAAATGTCTAAGTGTCTGTGTTTGTTGTAGAATTAATTGATTATATTATAAATGATTATAACTAAAAGCAAAATGAATGTTAAGTAAATTGTCTTTTAATTTTACAAATGAGTTGAAGAGACCGTTTGAGTTTAAAACTATACAATTGATTTTTATATGTTTAATTTCTAGCTTAAAATTATAATTAATTTCAGGTCAAATATTTTTTTTTTCCAAATATCTTGTTGTTAAGTATCGGCTCTATTGTGGCGGTTTTTTATTTATTAATGATTCTTATAGAAAAATTGACTTTCGTACCTCATTGCTTTAGCTGTACACCCTCCTCCAAATATGTTAATTTCAATTTTTTTTTTTTTTTTTTTTACTTTTAAGAATAACTTTTATATACAAAATTTATCCTCTCTCCAATCTCAAATTTTCGATAGAATCTAAAGTAAAAGAAAATCTCAAAAATTTTACTTTTAGAATCATTAATAAATTTGGTTTATAATGATTAATATATTTGGTTTATATGTGAACCAGAAATATTATTTATTAAATGAATTTAAAACATGAACATTCTTTTATAATAAGGACAAGGGAGTAATATAATGAAAATTTTAGTTTAAATGTTTCATTGTGTTTGACTATTTGGAGAATGCTAATGATTTTGTCAAGTTAGTTGATAGTGTATTCGACACCTCAGGCTAAGATGATTTCAATTATGGAGAAATCTATATTGAGGAGGAAGATAAAAAGATGAGCACTGACATTAGACAATGTTTTCGCAAGGTTGTAGATGGCCACTTCACGAGAGTTGTGAAGTGTTTGGGTCATCCAGACTAGCTCTTTTTAATGAAGACACAATGAAGGTTTCAGAGACTAAACACTCATACAAGTCATCTTTCTCCATGTCGACAACCTTGTTTGTTAAATCTTCCATTGTGGCTGAAATTGACATTATTCTCAAGTGCAATAAATCCTTCCTCATAGGGACATCATTTGGTAGTGATAGTTTACGAGACTAATATTATGGACGCTCCGTGTGGAGAAGATTTTGTTTTTCCAAGAAATATTTTATATGTAATCACCTTAATGGTTAATTTATGGTTAGGTAGGAGATGTTTGATGAGTTTGGTAGAGTTTATAGTGTACGCACCCTTGATGCCATTATTGAAGTGGCATGGTGAGATACACCTAATTGTTGTAGGTTCCATTTGGAAGCATCTAGTATCCAAAGTTTCTATGAAGGAAGTCGGTAAAGAATATCTCACTGACTTCTAGTTTGGGATCAACATATTAGGTGGTGCATAGGCCATTTTTCCCTTTGCTAAAGGGTGTTGAACAAGCAAAATGGAAATGGTTATTTTACTAGTCTCTCGGTAGACTTCTCAAATGCTTTCAACATAGTAGACCGATCAGCTCTATTGCATGAGTTAAGGGTGAAATGTCCATTTATTTATTTGTGAGTTGAGTTTCTTTATTGTCAGGCAACGAGGTTGTACCTTAGATATGGACATATTGTGTCAGTCGCTGGAGTGCAACAAGGCGACCCATTAGGGTCGCTCCTTTTTGCTATTATGTTACAACCCCTTATTCATAAAATCAGAGAAAATTGTAAACTTATTATTCATGCACGCTATCTCGGTGATGGTACCATCATATGGGAAACAGAGGAGATGGCTAAAGCCTTGAACATCATTCAAAAAGCAGGTCTCAAATTAAGCCTTGAATTGAATATTCATAAAACAACGATCTATTATTCTTCATATGATGGCAGTAAACTTTGTTGGGGGTTTTTCCGTTTGAAATTTTGGAGGTCAGTGTTGGGGATGAAATTTCTTGGAGGAGTTGTTATTCGATATGGAGGTTCTATTAAAGGGTTTTCCATGAAGAGAGATGTCAATGTGGCTGAGTTAATGTATCTTTTCCCACAGTTAAGAAATCCCCGGAGTGATATTTTTCTACTTCGATCGTGCATGAGTATCGTGAGAAAAAAAATTTGTCCTAAGAATATGACAATTGGTTCACATCAAATAAGAAGATATTTAGCTTGATAAAGATTTGTGAAAGTCGGTTGAAGACATTGTAGTTGGTGGAGGCAATTTCTTCAATGACCTTTAATGGAGGATGGCTTCTTGACCTATTAGAGTTGGGGGATTGGGTTTTTACTCGGATGTAAAGACGACCTTGTATATTTTTGTGGCTTCTAAGGCCTAATCTTGAGTGTTACAAGATCATATACTAAGAGACAATGAGATAAATGGTATGGTTTCTAATTTTTACAAACCTTTGGATGGTCTTAGTGGCATGATCCTAAATTTTAACATTAGCAGTATTACTAGCAAGGACATTGTCCCCCCCCCCCCCCCCAAAGTCCAACTAGTATTGGCGAGGGTTATTTTTTTAGTAAAATTATTCAAAACATGGAAGTAAAGTTTGACATGTCCACACAATAAAAAGTAGTTTTTTATTGTTTGTAAGTAGTACATGCTTATGAATTTCTTCTTGTTATTCCTATTAATAGATTAGGAAAACATATATCTTTGGTGGAGTATTGTACTTTCCTAAGATATCGTCTAATGATTCCTTTATTTGGTGTTGATGAGGTTTGCCCTATTTGTCGTAAGGCATACTTTGATACATTTGGTAATACGAAGTTCATTGTAGAGAGCTTTTAGGACTCAAATATCAGAATGACCTTGTTAGAGATTTCTTGTTCGATATATTTTTGGTGTGTTAGATTATCTGTGAAAACAAATATTTTGGTGTACAGTTGGGTATGGGAAACATTCATATGTGGACTTGACTGAGGTTTTGTCCCTTATGGAACTGGGGACTAGAGGTTTTACCATATTGTCACACCCTAATTTTTGACCTTAAGATCCCACCTCCTCGTGCATTTTTCTTGCATATCATCCTTACTCTTGTATGCATATTTATTGTGGCTAATGAGTGTATGCAGGTACATTGATCTTAAGCCTAGACGGCGTTAATCCTCACAGATATTTTTCTCCTTCCGCCACCCTTGGATCAACACTTTTAAAGGATATCTTGAACGGAATTTCTAGCTATCTCGCAAACTAAGATCGGTTTCACGACTCATGTGTTACCAAAGTCAT